GTAGTGAAGATAGTGTTGATGATTAACTCAAACAAGTGAAAGAAACCTACCTTCATAGAGAACGGGTATCCCCTACGCTTCGTGGAGGCCAATAGCAAATTACGTGGAAGAAACACAGCGTCGGTGGCATAACGGTTAGGACGCTCGCCGACCATGCACATGGTCCGGGGTTCGATCTCCGGCCACAGGACGCACTCCTTTACCTCACTAAGCCAGAAATAATGCTGGTGAAGAGGAAAGGTTGGGCATGAGGCTAGCAACCCAATCCTGTAAAAATAAACGCTGCTACAGAAACTTCAAGCCACTAGATTGAAGCCCTATGTTCCACTGGGAACGTGAAGGAAAAAAACAACAAACAACAAAACGATAAGTTAGCCAAAAAAGTGTTACAACTAAACTCAGAATTTAGGGGTGACACTGCGGGTGGGGTACTTAAATTTCGTCTGATGAGATCACTGAGGAAAACGTTGTTTGCTGCCACTTTACGAATAACCTACCCTAACCGTCCACTGGTGCACCTTAATGCCAAGCAAATGCAACCTCGATTATCTGATTCCCTGTGTATTTATATGTTCACCTGCTATTGCAGAGATAGGTACATAAGACGTTCCTCAAGTGACATATTCCGCCGAGTTCGAGAGCACCTCCCAGTTTGGCTAAGCAAAGGAGAACATAGAGGTATTAATTCATTCATATTTTAACATATTGTAGATACTGTCCATTCAGCATCCAACAAATCCTCTGATATATAGCCAACAAAGTTACACAAAGTTTGCTGGAAGAGACACGAGTGCATTTCCTTTGTATAAAAGAGGCTTTGGCGTTGCGTGACATTAAGCCAGAACTTTTTGTATAAAAACAATTTGTACAATCTCTTTTGTTACCGTGGTTTTGATTTTACTATGGAATTCACATAACAACACCTTGTTATACTTCTTTATTCCATGTTTGTCCATTTTTGTTTTATTTTATTTCACTTCATGTTATCATATTCTAACATTTTATCTAGTCTACTATTTTGACAACATTTTACTCATCCAATTCAAATGAACTGTCGTCAAGATTTGACAGAATAGTTCTAAAGTATTTGGGCGCCTAGTGAGAAGTAGACATTTGTAAAAAATTATATTTGTAAAATCTCAGCGAGATTGAAAGGAGTAATTCCAACGTTTCCTGTGTTCGGCAATCTGGTCCGAACTTCTTCAGGGAAATTAATCGAAATTAACATTACAGAGGTTTATATATAAAAGGCACATCTTTTGTTTTTAAAAACTTTGTCCAATCATGATTCATAAAACAAGTATTAACAAGTATAATAAACAAAATTGTATGAGCTGTGATCAAAATTTGACCTCGGACTTACAAATATTGGTCTACCTTTGTTAAACACTTTAAACAGAGTGTATGTGTGTGTGGGTAAACAGTTGTAAAACATTTCTTAACGTCTCCATAAGAAGATATGGACGGTCGAGAATTTTGACCAAGTATTAATAATTAGTGATACATATCCATTTTTTAATATTTGTTAATAAGGATTTCCTATGCATCGGCTAACATCACACCTTCATGTCTGTTCAAACTGTTAGTATCTAGAATTTTATGATTAGACGTATTTTCAAAATTATGGTGTATAGGATTAGAGTTTAGTTTAAGCACCCTGTCGGATTTATTGCTTTGTCTTCTTTCTGAATATTGAGCTGCTTTATTCGACCTACTGGAGTTGTCAGGTGACTCGACAGCTACAGATATAGGATGTGCATTTTGTTCCAGACAACGGAGATTGAAAACACGATGATTGTGCCAATTACATAGTTTCTTTGTTAATTTAATTCGATAGCAAAATAATTCAAATGAACTGTCGTCAAGATTTGACAGAATAGTTCTAAAATATTTGGGTGCCGAGTGAGAAGTAGACATTTGTGAAAAATTATATTTGTAAAATCTCAGCGAGATTGAAAGGAGTAATTCCAACGCTTCCTGTGTTCGGCAATCTGGTCCGAACTTCTTCAGGGAAATTAATCAAAATTAACACTCATCCATTCATGTATCCATCATATTATATTCACATATTCACATTTCCAAATCAACTTTATTTTCCGACGATCATCTATTTCACACACATGTCCACTGAACTTTAGACTGACCTCATTCATATATGCCTAATCACATTTTGTGACTCATAATCCTATACACTAATACTATTATGGCTTTCCAATATTTCCACTCCCTGTGAGACTTTAACACAAACACACACACACGTACACACAGGGGAAACCTGATTGTTATTAATATATGTATGTGTATGGTGGAGGTACGTAGATGACACATTCACTGTACTTAGAACACAAGATATAGATAGGTTTTTCAAACACATCAACTCGAAGGTTGAAGCAATTCAATTCACTTATGAATTGGAAAATCAGGAAGGGGAGCTCCCAATGTTAGATTGCAACGTAAAGAGGAAAGAAGATGGGAAGTTAAACACTAGTGTGTGTTTACAGGAAACTCACACACTCAAACAGATATTTGGACTTCCGATCATCCCATCCTATGTCAGTAAAAATAGGATTGGTGAAATGTTTAAAGGACAGAGCACAAAAATTAAGTAGTACCAAAGAAAATCTAAAACAGGAACTGATACACATAAAAGAAGCCTTGAAACTTAATAATTACCCGAATAAATTAGTCAAGAAATATGTAAGGAAATGTAAAAATAAAATAAATAATGATAGTAGCGATAGTGATAATAACAATAATAATGATAATAATAGTGATAATAAAAATATTAATAACGACACCAACAATAGGGAATCTAAATCATCGGTAGTAATTCCATACAAGGAAGGAACCTCGGAAGCCTTACGCAGAATTCTTAACAAGGCAGGAATAAAAACGGCATTCAAACCCACAAACTCAATTAGAAATAAGCTTTGTCCGTTAAAGGATCCTGCCAGTGGAGCCTTTAAAACGAAACAATTTAGTTTATCTAATACCCTGCTTGTGATGATTGTCAGGTCAAATACATAGGCCAAACTAGTAGAACAGGGACAGTCAGACTAGCTGAACATAAAACCTAAGCAAAATCTAGATTGGTTGACCCAAATAAGATAAGAAATCTAGGGAATAGTTCAGCTATTGCACTACATGCAATCACACACACAACCATACAATAAGATGGGATAGGATGACAGCTTTAAAATCTAATGTCACAGGGTATAGGGAGAGATTGATAACAACGGAAGCTTTGTTTATCGAATCAACTGCAAATACATGTAATAGGAATGATTCATCACCTGTCCAGCCAGATATCTGGAAAATTCTACTACCCCAACGACGACAAATAGGAGATAACAAAGAAAACTATAAAGCTCAAGTTTCAAAGTCGTGTGATTACAATTGATATGATTATGAACAATAAATTTTGTTCGAAACTGTGTCATCCAGTAAATAATACTGTTTCACTGTGTGATATATCTAATAAACAAACTAATATGGAATTACTGATTTTTATTGTCCATGGCAATTCATATACACATACGTGGGATTGTAGAGCTATGTAAACGGCATCGTCAGCAAAGAGAATTTTCTTCCCCCGAATTCTTTGTTTTTGTAATTGTATTTCTTATAAGGTGAAATTTAATTTAGAATTCTCATTTTAGCATGCTACTTTCTCTCCGTAGTCACCTGACCCATGCCTGACTAATTGCCTCTCTCTCTCTCTTGCTTCCACTGTTAACACAATCACACTGTGTCACATATCTCAATCAGTAGAAGAGCAGCTCAACTTGTCTGCTTCACGTGAATGCAGTCACCACACACACACACAGAACGTGAATCGATAGCGAACGTGATACAGACGGTGTCGTCATAAGTGTACACTGATGACAGGAAATCCATGAAACTAACCAATAGACAGAGAGATATTTACTGAAACCTATAAAAGCGGTTCCACTTGACTTGAAAACCATAAGTTATTGTAATCATAAATGGATAGAACTTTGGTGAGTTGTTTATTCACTTTCTGAGTGCAGTTGTCTACCCTGTATTGTTTCTGTCTCTTCCAAAAGGTTGCATTACTGGTTTTTACCCTTGCCATGAACAATTCAGATTTCGTGAAATGTGATTCAGGTAAGTGTATCTGTGTTCGATGACTGTGACTGTGTAGTTCACATGTCTGAGCATTTTCATCATGCATCGTTAGTCTGAGTTATATTGATTGGTTTAGATTATTATTATTATTATTGTTCCCTTGGGTTCCTAGTGGAACATAGGACTTCAACTACACGTCTACACTTGCTTCTGTCTTCTGCTGTACTTTCACTAGCATCCATGTTATTCCATATTGTTTCATCTCCTCCTCACACGATCTCCTCCATGTCACCCTTGCATCGACGAACCATTCACCACTTCCCTTTCGGGTTCCACTCGAGCACTGGCCTGACGCGCGATGTCACTCAACGGCCTCCTCAGCTCAGTGAGTGTCCAATCCATCTCCACTTCCTCCTGCATATTTGTTGAGCGATTGGTTCTTGTTTTGTTTGTTCCCATAGTTTCTTGTTGGTGATTCTTTCCGGCCATCTAATCTTCAGTATGGAGCGAAGACAGTTAGTTGTTGATAAAGGTCTGCAACCTGTTGAAAATATTCTTGGTGACCCGCCAAGTTTCTGATCCGTAAAGCAAAATTGACTTGACGATTGTATTGAAAATCCGAATCATTTTGTTGTTGATGCTGAGTTGAGTGACAGCGGAAGATTTCCAGATTGGTTTCAGGTTGATGATGAATGTGTTTCTCGCCTTCCCGATTCTCGCTCGATTTGACATCCTCGTCCGTTTCTGCTGTAGTTGAGACAATGCTCCCTAGATAAGTAAGTGAATGAAGTAACCTCTTTCAAATCCCTCCCGTTGATGGTGATTGGAGCTGGATGTTGTTGCTGCTGTTGTTGTTGTTGTTGGTTGGTTATTTTCATAACCTCCGTCTTGTCTATGTTCACCTGGAGTCCTGTCTTCACTGCCTGCTTCTTCGACCAGTTTGTCGGTTTTCGCTTGTAAGTCTTCGATTTTATGTGACATCAAACATAAATCATCCATGCGCGAAATCCAGGTGTTCTAGATTCTTCACATCGGTGGTCCAGGATATCCCTGTCTTCTCGTTTCCCACTGTCTGACGCATAATCCAGTCCACCACAATTAGGAATATCATTGGTGATAATAAGCACCCTTGTCTGACTCCTCTGTTTACTCCAAACGCTTCGCTGAGTTTTCCGTTGTGGATCACTTGACATGTGGCGTTGTCGTACAGCTGTTGAATAAGGTTGATGAATATTTGGGTTACGCCGTAGTACTCGAGTAGTTTCCAAATTACTTCGCGGTCAACGCTGTCGAAGGCCTTCTAAAAGTCTATGAAGGAAGTTGAGGTAGAGATTTGATTGCCATTCCATGCTTTGTTCCGTGATGATAATGCGTAGAGTTGCAATTTGGTCAGAACATGATTTGCCTTTCCTGAAACCAGCTTGTTCTGGTCGGAATTCTGCACCCAGTACGTCCTATATTCTCTCCAAGATGATGCGACTCAGAATTTTACTTGGCGTCGACAGGAGCATGATTCCTCGCCAGTTCTTGCAGAGTCCCAGGTCGCCCTTCTTTGGTAGTTTCGATTGGTTTAGATAGGCCGTGTTAAATATCTGATCATCATTGACGTCAAATTTGTTAGCTGTTAATGAGTATAACAGGGGAGTCTGTCAATCGCTGAAACATTTGTACGAAGTAGCCTACGTTTCTTTGATTCCAGCACAATCTACATCAATCGATCAGACATCCTTAATTACGAAGAAGCCAGAACAAGAGATACACATATCTGCAGACGCCCTTTTACTTTACACACGGTCACATTATTTGTTGCCAATATCCTGGTATATCCCCTATCTCCTGTCCTGAAGAACACTCAAACTTCCTAGCGCTTACACGTATGCACATGTCTTCCTCCTCCCCCCCCTCCTATGACAAACTGGAATGAATTTCATTCAACTTTCCTCTTTTTTCGTTTTATTTCAGATGCTGCTGCAGCTGTACCCGATGAGTGTGATGCAAATGTTGATCCGCTTGATTCTCCCTCGTTGCAGATACAACTGCGTCTCCTTCAGATGGTAAGTTACATTTTGATGTATTAATTTCGTTATTTTCATGCATTTATTACCCTTGATGAATTTGAATAAAGCAAGAATAACAGTGGTTTGTCCAGAATAATGTTCATTAAGTAATCAAATGAAAGACAGACATCCAGTCACCAACCAGCCAAGTGAGACTGATAACTGCCTTTTCCGGAACACACAGATTGGGTTTCAGGCGTTTCATAGAGATTGATTGCTTGGGCAAACTTGAGGAGAATCGATCTCCTTTGTCTATTGATAATTTTAAAGGATTTTGCGATTTCCACCTCATGACCCGTATCAAGGAGATACCTGGTAATGACACTGTTGTAAGCGTCTGTTCGTTTGAGACGTAGGCTTTTTGGAACATGTTCAGAAAATCTGAGATGTGTCCCTCTGAACGTATGCCAAAAAGCCTACGTCTCAAGGGAACAAACTCTTATGACAGCCCTATTACCAGACATCTCGATACGGGTCATGAGGTGGAAATCGAGAAATCCTTTAAAATTACCAATAGAATAAGGAGATTGATTCTCTTCAAGTTTGCCCAAGCAATCTCTATGAAACGCCTGAAACCAGATTTATGTGTTCAGAAAGAATCAGTTTTCAGTCTTCCTTTGCCCATCCTGGTAACTGGAGGTCTTTATTCTCTCATTCGATTGTGTAATCTATGGCTTTAACCTCACCTCTGTGATATAGTGTAATTTTGCTTGTCTCTTCTTCTTTCTATGATTTGAGTTGAACTCAGTACATTGTTACCTAATTTATTAGTCACTCAGCATCTTACGCATTTCTCATCTTTATTACACAACTCCTTTACCATTGTTTGCATACATTTATTTTGTTTAAACTTGAACTGTCTCTGTAAAAACTATATAAGCGCAATTTTCTGAGCACTGTTCACTAATTGCTGAACCTTCTGTCAACTGACATCATGAAAAATTGCAAGTATGTCAACATTTTTCTGTACATAAACGTCATAATTTATTTAGGCTGTAAGCAGCAGTTGATGAGAAGCCAACGAAATAAACAAAAGGATGGTATCATCTTCTTATTCTGCACAAACCACTGTTATTCAAAATCTCGTTAATTATTTCATTCATACTATTATACACAACTGTTAGCCTGGATATTGATGCACTCAGCAGTTTTGTGTGTATATCATGATACGTTAACACTGGTATTTCAAGAGCTTCCTTCTTCACTGAGTGCTCTTTCTACAATTCAAATATCCAGAAATATTTTTATACGATGAATAAATGAATGAAGTCATCATTTTGGAAATGGTTAGGATACAGAGATTTACGCTCACTAAAAAGAATATCAGCTTACTGGTGGTTAATAATTGATTGATATAACTCTGAGAAGATAGTGAAATATAGTGTCAAAGATGTATTTGAATTCGTAGACAAAATAAAAGATATTAATATCAAGGACAAAACCATGATATCTCTGGACATAACATCGTTATTCACAAATGTACCTCTAATAGAAACGGTTAATTATATATGTGAACAAGTGGACAAGCAGTCGATAAACATTGGAATCCATATTGAAATCCTAAAAGAACTGATATTAAGATGTACCATGAATGTAAACTTCAAATTTGATGGCACGCTTTACAGGCAAGTGGACGGGGTGGCAATGAGCTCCACCATTGGGTCCCATTTTGGCTGATTTCTTTCTAAGTAAGCTGGAAAATGGACCTCTGAACAACCTTCTCAGTAAGCTCTCATTTTATTGCCCATATATGGATGATACCTTTATTCTTTGTGATAATGGTTCCGATAGGAGTACAATAATTACTGAATTCAATGAAGTACATTCGGCTATGAAATTCACATGCGAGGAGGAATCCCAAGACAGAATTGCCTTCCTGGATGTCCTACTTACAAGAAAACCAGACGGTAGCATAAAAAGAAATTTACTCAGAAAAAGTACTTGGACGGGACAATATACACACTTTCACAGCTTCGTTCCCATCAAATACAAAAGGAATTTGGTGAAGACCCTTAGCCACAGAGTTAGAGTTATATGCTCAAAGAAGCAATTAAAGATGAATTAAGCATGGTATATGATAGTTTAATCGAAAATGGTTATCCTGACAAATTTATCAAGAAACATATGACAAAGAAAGCCAAAAAGGACTACCCACTATCTGTAAAAAAGAAGCTACTTTATATACGACTGCAGTTCATGGGCGCTATACCAAGTAAGTATACGAGCTTGCCTTGTAACCGGAAGGTCCTGGGTTCGAATCCCAGTGGGTGTGTACTGCCGATGATTCCCGAACTAGGAGAAAACAGCAGCTGTCCAGTACTCCCTGGTTTTCAATGGTTCTCTAACTGATATCAGTCCGTGATCAACTCGTAAAAGAAATTAAGAAAATCAGTTCAAAGGACTTTTAATGCTGGCGAACTACACATCTTATTCTCTACAAGACCGATGGTGCTACCTCGATTGAAAGATGAAGTACCTAGACTAGCCACTTCAAATTGTATTTATCAATTCAAATGCGCTTGTGGAGCGAGTTATGTTGACCGTTGCTCTAGGAACTTGATTTTTCGTGCTCGCCAGAGACCATCTCCCACTATGGCTAAGTAAAGGTGTAGTTAAAACTATTAACAGCTCGATATTAGACCATCTGGTGCAAACCGGTCACAAATCCAGCCAGCGTAGAAGAATCCTTCTCTATAATATACCGGGTGCCTAACAAACTACCAAAATCGTCGAAGCACCACATGCTCCAAACAGCAGAGGCTAATGCAATTCACCTCAAACAACCAGTGCTCTGTGTCCAAAAGAAACAAGTTCAGCCCCTACTACTGCCCTGGCCCTCAGTAGAGACTATAAACCCATGAATTTGTACTATTACCTTTCCTAATTCTCCTGACATTCAGTTTATTTTATGTTGATGCTGTTTAGCTGTAATTTATCAATATTATTGATTTGATGTTATTTCAACATTAATGTTGTTCATAAGACTAATTCATTCATTATAATGTATATATAATTGTAGAACCTGATGATGAATTTAACGAAAAGAGTACTCTTTGTTCCCTGTCTATTCTTTTGAAGTTATATGAACTCCGCAGAAAACAGACATTTGATACGTTCATCATAAATTTATTTGCATATCCAATTTGTTCAACAGACAAAGAATATTATTTCCCGAGAGAATTGTAACTGCATTTTCTTATGCATTAGTAAAATAAGATGTTTTAGTGGGGGAGTAATAATAAAAATTTTAAATTTATCCGGTTATGTTCCATAGGTGCATATGTCTCTGCCGAGCCCCCCGAATCAGCGAGACGACCGACCATAGGTGAAGAAATCAATAGTTCAAAGTTTTTGTTTTTTACAAAGGTTATCAATTCATCCATACCGTCGTAAGTTAAACCATTAATTTCATACTTCCAGTCTACTGTGATATATCGGCTAAATAACATAACATATCTGAAAATAAAATGCCTGACTGAGATTTTTCACTGAAACTCATGCATACTCTCTAACCCTGATATATGCATGCGTACAGTTGAAAAAAGGTATACATCAGTTTGTAAAAATGCACATGCACGTTAATCTATAGGCATAATCAGATACACACACACACACAAGTCTTCCATCAGTTTTCAAACATCCGTGATGTGGTAGTGACGAAGACTGCTGTCACATCTACTCCTTACATGCCCCTTCCCACTTATTCATTTGAATTCCCGGCAACTCTAAACAATAGGAACCCAAAACGAAACGACCTACGAACGCACAACTGACCTTGAGCAACCGATCAGGTGACTGCTTTTTCCAGCAATAGGTTTTAGGGATATATGACACCAGCCTCCAGAAAGGACATATTGAGGTGCCCCCTAAGCGCAGGGCATGTGTATTATTGCCTATTGTCTAGCGCTTAGTGCTGCCTGGGACGACTATTGTCGTTTTTTTTTTAGCCTTCGGATTGGTCCTTGCCGAAGTCATTTGTGCGTTCGTAGGTCGTTTCGTTTTGGGTTCCTATTGTTCAGAGTTGCCGAATTCCCTTCATCATCTCTAAGTTTATAAAAACAAACTGGAGGATGTCCGACAAGACACTGGAGAAGTTGACATGATGAGTCCTCACACTTTCACATTCACCTTTACTTTCAATTTGATGCATTTTCTGTCAGCTATCTTTTGCATTTACTGGCTATCATTAATACTAAATACATTTCATTCTAGGGATTTTCTGATCCCATAGATTCTTCGTCTTTCTTCATCTGCTTATCAACCTGTATGTCTTTGAAGTCCCAGTATGTTTGTACATCAGAATCAGTTTTAAAAAATTGTTTTGGTGAATACTAATCCTCACGATTGTGTTATCTTTCAGTATATCTGATGTACTCGCTTCTACCTGATTCACCATGTGTGAGTGTGTGTGTGTGTGTCACAGCTAGGTGAACATGTTTGTCTGCCATTGAAAATCAATGTCTTCATACTATCCGGTTGATTTAACTAATTTCCACATTCTGATCATTTGTCAACTCGCACGTGGTGTTTGTTGGTTGACATAGACCTGTTCAGCCTTCACACTAGTACTAAATGTCTTCTTATTTGTCTCTGTCGGTCCTTCTCTCTCTATCTCAGTGTCTTACTCACTCACTCACCCACTCACTCAGCGCATAGGTGTCTTATATGGTTGGAGGCGATCGTCGACAGGAAGCCTTACTTCACCTAGGTTTCGTGCTAGTCGGCACACACCAGTCAGCATGGTGTATCTGCAGTCACCGTGAAGGAACTGATATCCCACCCGTCTGAGATTCGAACCCACATCACTCAGTGCCGCCTTCAATCAGAGACGTTACCATTGAGCTAGCTATTCGGGCTCGTGATTGACCTCCTGCAGAGCTGACTGTATTGGATATTTTTGATTGGACACTGTAATGTGTCTGACTAGTCCTTTATTTACTGTAGACTGAATTCTATCAGTCAAGTTTGCAGTGTGTTTCTGACGTGTGTCTCCAACCATCTAATACCAATAATTCACACTGCATCGTGATGACGAGCCCCCTAGTGGCATGGTGACCATATTGCAAACTTGAATGATAGAATTCAGTCTGCACCAAAGACAGGGCTAGACACAAACACACACACACACGTACATTACGCTAGTCACTAACTAATGTCCAATCAGAAACATAAGTGTCTACCAGTTGTTTGTTTCGTTGATCAATTTTCACACTATAATCCCTTTTTATTTTCAGGTATATAAAAACATTGATGAAGCAGATACCGACAGGGATGCCTTCTTCATAATTTAAAGATTGTGTGAATTTTGTAGATAGAATAAAAAATATATATGTACTTCAATGAAGAGACTCTTTTCAACGAATTTATTATCAAATTATCAATCTCTCTATGCTAAAGTATGGTAATCCCTAATCATATTTTGGCTCTATCAATTTTCCCGTTTTGTTTATTCAATCTGTATACTCTTCGCTTATTACATACATCAATTGTTGCTATTATTGATATTCTCACTTTGAACTGTCCCCGGTATTATTTCACTCGTCCCACTAGTCATTCTAAATCAATTCTGTTTTACAACCCTAAATTCTTCAGAACCCATTTAATGGTGAGAACAGGAGACCTAGTTCTTCTATTGTGAAACATATTATAGAGACAGAACACAAATCTGACGTTAACAGATCTTTTAAACCTATCTATGAAACGTGTCTGGGACGTATCCTAAAGCTTGTTGAATCCCTAGCTGGCAATTAGGAGGTTTAAACCACCTTTATACGTTCAAAGCAACAAATATTCATCACACTAAACCTACCTTCCTTGGTAAACTTTGTTTTGATCCTATAGCAGACGTACCTCTGTTATTTGGTTTAGTGATCTTCATTGTTATTTTGACCTTCAATATGTCCTTTAAACTTGACCTAAGTCTATTTCCTCACCTCTTAAGTCTTTATTAATTTCACGCATATTCCTATGATATGTCCGGGTGTGTGTTTGTGATCAGATTGTTCGAAATGTGTTGCGCAAATACAACATTACACGATTCAGACAAATTACGTCTTCTTACTGCTTTATCTAAATTCTACGTTATCAAATTTCACACAGTGTTACGTATCGTTATTACTCTTATTCAATTTGCCTGCTAATCTTATAATTTCACAACCCTTGCAAGTTCTATGCATCCTGTGAATTATCCTATACATGACATTAATTGATTTGCCACTTGACATCTGATATATGATTATGATCACAAATATTTTAATTGCATTTCATACTACTTGTAAGCGCAATATCGCTTGAGATTAAGTCACGCGTAGATAAAGGCTATCCCGGTCCAGAACAAACAAGAAGCCGGTCACTGTTTCTACGGTACTATTAATAAACAAATCAATAAATATATATACAACAAACCTTAACGGTTTCAAGAGTACAAAACACAGTGCTTAACAGAAAGCAAGGCACCGCTATCAGAGCGGAAAGACGTTAAAGCCCAAATTACGAACTAGCCGGATCAGACACGATCGTTCAGGTAAGCAGTCAGTAGAAGAATGAACCCAAGTAAGAGGTAGACAGAGCATAGGCACAAAGATAGAATTTAATTGGCTACTTAACCAATCAATAAATAAGATAAAATCAACAGAATAATACAAAGTAAGAAATGGGTCAGCAAAATAACAGTTCACAAAAATACTCTGATTGGGTCATGAGTTCAACTGTCTGACTAAACGGATCGAAGTAAAAACACACACAGTTCATTAAACAAGGTGGGATAGACACGTTAGGCATGGATAATTGTGTTGCAACATTGCTAGGCTGATCCGGGACAGGTTGACTTGATTCAAGGATGGGAACTGAATCGATCTTACACTACTATTATTATTATTTCATGTATTCATAACTTTGATTCAATTCCCTCACCGGATTTAATTTCTTAAAAACTGTATATGTACGATTGTATATCTTGATAATAAATTCGTTGAAAAGAGTCTCTTCGCTGAATCACTTGTTTTGATTCTTTTATATGTTACAATGGAAATTTTCCATGAATATATATGTACTTCACATTTCATGTCTGACTTCTTACTTATATTCTCCATACTCGTTTCTGTCGTTATCGTCGCCGCGAGTATTCAGCGTGTTTGATCAATACACACAGGCAATGAAATATAATCTTGTTGACTGTTAATACCTATAACTTACTCTTTGGTAATTTGTGACTGTTAAACGCGAACTAATATCAATAACTCTATGTATTATTGGATTTACAAGCTCATGTCGGCTCAAGTCAGCGCGTCTCTGGTATACGTGTTTTCACTAATTGTATATAACAGTGATACTACTGCTACAGGTTCTTTTGTTGTTGCCGTCGCTACTTTTCCTTTTGTGATTTTCGTTGTTGTTCCGATTGCTTTGCTTCTTATTTTTCTGGTTGTAAAGGGAGCAACCTAAAACGTCTCTGCTGTTTAACTTATATCCCTAAGTAACAACTCCCTTCTCATGCATGAGGCTAGCAACCCCATCCTGTAAACAAAACTGCTACAGAAACTTCAGTACGATGAGTATCCTGGTGACGGAAGAAAAGTATGCGTGGGGACATGGAAGGTCCTAACTATGTATGAGACTGGCGAAGCTACCCAGATTGCAAACGAGATGAAAAGATACGGAATTCAAGTACTGGAAATATGTGAAATCAGGTGAAATGGGGATGGACTCACCAAATTATCAACGGGAAAGTCAGTGATCTAGTCTGGCGACCCAGAAGACAACCACATGCACACTGAGGGCGTGGCTATCATGATGTCAGCAACGGAGACGAAGGCCCTCATGCAATGGGAGGCGATCTCGTCCAGGATAATGACCGCCAGATTCAACTCCAAAGGAAAGAAAGTGTCAGTTATACAATGCTATGCATCCAAAAACAACGCAGACCTCGAAAAGAAAGATTTTTGCAGATAACCACTGGCAACTATGGACAATACTTCAGTTGGTGACATTAAAATCCTAATGGGCGACATGAGCACCAAACTGGGACCAGACAACACAGGAAGAGAACTCACTATGGGTAGAGAAGTTCTCGGAGAAATGAAAGAAAATGGAGAACTCTTCGCCGACTTCTGCGCCTCCAATGAACTGGTGACTGCTGGCAGCGTATACAAACACAAAGATATCCACAAGGCTACATGGGTGTCAACAGATGGGCGAACCAAAAATCAAATTGACTTCATCTCAATCTCAAGGAAGTGGAGGCGCAGCCTACTGGACACAAAAGTAAGAAGAGGAGCAGACGTTGGCTCAGACCACTATCTCGTACAAGGGACAATCCAAATCAAATTAAAAGCCTACAGAGAAACAGGAGCTGCAGATAGACCACAAGCCAAGTTCAACACTCAAAAACTAAAGGACGAGGACACAAAGAACATCTTCACTGCAAACATAAGGGAAAAAGCCGAGACACAAATCAACGCTAGCGAAGAGGTCAGTATTGAGAAGCACTGAAACAAGCTGAAAGCGGTGTGGAGTCAAACCTGCATGGAAGTTCTAGGCAGGAAGAGGAGACAGGACAATCAGTGGCTCACTACGGACACTTGGAGACTGACAGAAGAGAGAAGGATGGTGAAACAAAAGATTATCCAGTGCACCGACGGGCAACAAAAACAGGGTTTGAATGCAAACTACAATACACTGAACAGAAGAGTAAAGAGGAGTGCCAGGGAAGACAAGAGAAAATATTATGAAGCTATGGCAAGTGAAGCAGAACAAGCTGAGGTGCATGCAAAGGACACTCTACTAAACAACTAGGTTCCTATCGGGAAAGAGGTCAAAACAAATTAAGCCAGTGAAGGATGACAATGGAAAGTCAATTACCAAGGAAGTGGAGCAAAGGTAACACTGGGCTGAGCACTTAAAAGGACTTCTTAGTCGACTGCCACCTACAACGTGTCCAATAATACCAACAGTAAAAGCAGAACTACCAGTGGACATCAACTCTCCGACGGAAACAGAAATCCTGAGGGCAGTCAAGATGCTAAAAGCTGGGAAAGCAGCAGGACCGGATGGAATCCCAGCAGAAGCACTAAAAATGGACCCAGAGACAACAGCGGACTTGATGAAACCACTACTGGAGAAGGTGTGGAAAGAGAACAAAGTACCTAAGGAATGGAGGAAAGGCTACTTATTCAAACTACCAAAGAAAGGAGACTTAATTCAATGCAAGAATTGGCGTGGCATTATGCTCCTGTCTATTCCAAGCAAAATACCAAGCCGCATCATCCTGAGGATAGTCAAACATGCCCTGGATGAAACACGTCGTCCAAAACAAGGTGGATTCAGGAGGAACAAATCATGCATCAATCAAACCGCCACACTTCGGAACATCACTGAATAGACCTTGGAATGGCAGTCAATTCTCTACCTCAAATTCGTTGAATTTGAAAAGGCCTTCGGGAGACAGTGTAGATCGAGAAGTGATTTGGAAACTACTTCGCTGTATGAGGTGCCGCCTACAACTATACACCTCATTCAACAGTTCTACCGTAATGCTGTATGCCAAGTAATCCACAATGGGAAACTCACAGAATCCTCCGAACAAGTGAAGACGCGAGTAAGACAGGGCCGGCTGGCTGGGTGGTTGCCTACTATATCCAATGATTTTCCTGATTGAGGTAGACTGGATAGTGCGACAGACAGTTGGCCGGGAAACCACGAGACAGGCATAAAATGCACCCACACAAAAATACTTGTAGGATCTGGACTTCGCCGATGTCATATATATGTCTCACTGCCCACAAACTGGAAGATATGTAAGTGGAAAGCAACAAGCTGACGATAGAAGAAGCATCCAGAGAAGATAGGACTTCTTTCAGGTGAACATAGAGAAAACAGAGGTAGGTGATGAAGATTCCTGGAAAACACCAACGACAACAGCAACAACGGACAACAGACAACAATCAGCCAGCGTAAATGGGAGGAATTTGAAGGAAGCAACCTCCTTCACCTACCTACCTACCTACCTACCTACCTACCTACCTACCTACCTACCTACCTACCTACCTACCTACCTACCTACCTACCTACCTACCTACCTACCTACCTACCTACCTACCTACCTACCTACCTACCTACCTACCTACCTACCTACCTACCTACCTACCTACCTACCTACCTACCTACCTACCTACCTACCTACCTACCTACCTACCTACCTACCTACCTACCTACCTACCCACCTACCTACCTACCTACCTGGGAAGCATTGTTTCAACTACAGACAGATAGAACTGATGAGGATATGG